TAATATAAAAAGGCATACTGTACTGTGCATTAAAATTGCCGAAAGTATAAAACACATAAACCAGCTTTAGACGGGCTAGACCCTACTGTCAGATTTTTTTCGGATTGTAAATGCATGGTGTTGTATACTATTGCGATTGCAGTGGTGCACCAGCTCTTCCCCAACTGGGGATAGGCTTCCACGATGGGGGGGGGGGGTGGTGTGAACCCCTTGTCTGGAAGCTTGGCCCACCCGCTACCTTCAGTTTGTTAATGATGGTTTCCTCTTGTTCGTAGCAGCCTAAAGCTGCAGCACAAAAAACTTGTAGTGAAGTATTGTAACAATTTACTAATTTAAGGCTCTCGTGGTTGGACATAGATTTAACATTATCTACCAATATTTTAATTTCCACTTAACTGTATGTATATAAAACCGTATAATTTTTTAATAGGATTATTAATTCAATTTTTACAGTAGAATATGCGGTCGAGCAGAGCCACTTTGCCTTGTTCTTCAACCAAGGTCAGTGCTGCTGTGCAGGTTCCAGGACATTCGTCGAAGATAGTATCTATGATGAGTTCGTTGAACGTAGTGTTGAGAGAGCACAGAAACGATCCATAGGAAATCCCTTTGACCCCAAGAACGAGCAAGGGCCACAAGTAAGGTTTTATCTGGGACCTGGGAAGTATCTGTTTTTGTAATTGTATGTAGTCAGTTTGTGGACTACACACTAAAGCATAGGAAATTTGATAATCAGCATATTATAATGTGTGCAAAGTTTTGTTCATTTTTTGAAAGTTTTCGGTTAGCTACACGGCGTGATGTTTGGACGATTTCATTATCCGAAAACAATATAAAATGCACTTCATTGAACGATCAATTACTCGTGAACATATTAAAAATATATTCCCAATCTATTCATAACACTGTACAAAAAAGTCTTTGATACGCAGGTACAATATTTTCATAAGTTCGCTTGGTGGAACACACCAAAATTCCTGGGCTGGCTGTGAGATTGGTCAGTTTTTCTTCTTGAAAGCCTTTGACAGAATGCAAAAATAACGGAAGAAAATTTTATCCTATGAGATTATTTTTAATATATAACTGATCACAAGGAAATTGCCTTTCTGTTCCCACTTCAACCTGAACAAATGGATTGGTATAGGCAAAGTTATGATGTTGTAAATAAACAACTCCTCACAAGCCGGCACAAATCCCGCTGAAAACATGCTAATATCGCTTATATTTTTGTAATTTAACCCAAAAATGACGGAACTAAATATTTGAAAAGAAATATTTTGTAAATTGTAACTTTGTAAATAACTATATTTATATCCTTAAACCTCTAGTTTTTGAAGAAACGCTAATGGTTAAGAGCTAGGGTGATTTTCACTGTGGCATGTTTTCAGTTATGTGGACCAAACAAATTAATATGAATGTTTTTGAAATAACACTACTGTTGCAGTGTTAACAATATTGCTTGTTATGTTTACAAGGTGGATGAGGAGCAGATGAATAAGATCCTTGACCTTGTTGAGAGCGGTAAATCCGAGGGGGCTAATCTCGCTTGTGGTGGAAAACGTCATGGAGACAAAGGGTTCTTTGTTGAGCCCACTGTGTTCACAGATGTACAGGACAACATGAGGATCGCGCAAGAGGAGGTAACCTGATTTTTATAATAATAATAATAATGTTATATTTATATAGCATAGTGCATATTGCACATTGCCCCCTATGCACTTTACACAGTAATAATATAGACCTACCGAGAAAATTCAAATAACAATAAAATAATAATCTTAATAACAATAATAATAATGAGGCTAAACTACTCCTATTCCTTTAACTAACTAATTAATGGTTGCCCGCCCTTTATTTTTACTGGATTAATGATAAAAATAATAAGAATTGGAAGTGTTTCTCAACATTTTTCACCGTAAAATTTTGGGTAATAAGTTTTAAATACACTAGTTTATATGTTCAAAGTTATGTTACTTCAAAATGCGCATGTTAATTTCAAAAGCGATTTTAATGATTTTCATGAGACAATACACCTTTAAAGTGAATATATTATGAATATTCATTTAGATCTTTGGGCCAGTACAGCAATTGATGAAATTTAGTGATATGGATGAGTTGTACCATCGGGCCAACAATTCCATCTACGGCCTGGCCGCATCCGTCTTCACCAAGGATATTGATAGGGCTATGATGGTTAGTCAAGCAATGCAAGCTGGAACAGTATGGTGAGAAATATTTGCATTTTTTACTATTTTTTCATATATTATTATTATTATTATATTTTGTAATCTAGTTTGAAAGACAGAATCTTAATCAATGTCTTGTTATATTTTAGGGTGAACTGTTTTGATGACTTCAGTGCTGCTGCACCATTTGGAGGATACAAAATGTCAGGCATTGGACGTGAAAAGGGCGAGTATGCTCTTGACAACTACACCGAAGTTAAGGCTGTAAGTAAAAAGACATTTTTATATATATATATATATATNNNNATCTTGCCTATATCATTTTTTTGCTTTGTTTCATTGGCTTTTATCAGCAAATAGTATTTACTGATCTGTATTTCCTAATTTGTATTTAGCACATTATAAATTGATTGATCGAAAAATATATTTGATATTTTGTTTCTAAAATTTGATAAACCTATACAAGGCTGTTTAATATTGTTGTATTTTTCAATTTATGTCAATTATTCTTGTTTGTCTTTTAGGTCACAATAAAAATTCCACAGAAGAACTCATAAATTGGGACCAAAAGGCATACTAAAGAGTAATAAGCTTGATAAATATTGATTTACACAATTTATAATGAAAAATTTAACCTGCAGGTGTTTGACTCTTAATATTCCTACATATTTTCTAGTTTCATTTTCATTCAAACTGTATTTGTTATAAGCAGTTAGATTTCGGTTCAGTTACAATTCATTTAATCACAAACGAATTATGATAATACCTTAAGTTTACTTTTTAACCCACAAAAAAGGGACACATGTATTGTGTGATATTTACGTTTTTGTAATAAAATTTTGGAGAATTGGTGAATATAACTGTACAGAAAATCAAGCAACTATCAATAATTAAATGATTATTGATTTATTTAAAATCCAATTAAGCAAACAACCATGCAACCAAGAATTTAGTTTAAAGATATAAACTAAGATTTTGTGTTGAAAATATATTCAATTAAATTCATTGAGATAGGTCTTACTTTGGTGTGACACCACTTCACATCAACAAATACCGCCACATGTTTGCTTTTTTATACACTTCTAGTAGTTCCTTGTGTATAAAAGCACTCTTTGAATAAAAGATCGAGCCAATTTTGAAGGGGCTGGGGGTGGGGCTTATAACCTGGGGAAATCCCTGTTCATGAAAACAAAAGGACAAAAGCCTAATTTAAAGTCAATATTTGATTTTTTTAAAGTTGCTGAGATATTACATAATGAGTGGTGTGGGCCTATACCAGAGAAAGTACAGTAATATTAATTAACATCATCAGATTGCTCCTGAATTTAGAAAAAAAACTGTCTCCCTATACATCTGGGATACCATGTATTAGGGGCAAGAACTCAATCTTGTTTTGCATTTTATTAATATTATAGCCAAAGGTTTGAGTCCTTGTTTCATGAATTTCTTATTAAATAATGGTTAACAGCAACAACAGCCACAAGCTATTCACTTTACATAGATTGTAGCATTCTATTAAGGTCAGAATTATTCGTAGGTGTTGTTAAATTGATCGATGAGTTTGTAGTCAGTGTGTAAAAAATAGTAAACCATCAAAACTTGGTCTAATAAGCTTTAATTCACAATATTAATCAGATAGTTGTATAAAAATTGATGGCAAGTGGGGGTCTGCAGTTGTATGTGCCTTAATTAAGACTGGTTGAGATATAGCAGGCCTATTAACTTGTGACATTTGAGATTTGTTTTAAACATTTACAGGTACTTTGTTGTAATCATGATAAATGAAAATGGACTCAGGGAAAAAAAATGTGGTTAATTTTGTCATAATATTAATTATTCAAAAAGTTATATAAAAATTGATGGTAAGTGGTGGTATGTGCTTTAATTGAGATGGGTTGAGATATATATAGCAGGCTAAAAACTTGTAGCATTTGAGATTTCTTTAAAAATATATGCGGCACTTTGTTGTAATCATGATAAATGGAAATGGACAAGGAAAAATGTGTTTAATTTTGTCATTAAATATTGTCTTTGAAGCTGTGACTTGGAAAGTTTAAATTTGTGTTGCTGATTTTGTAAAGAACCAAGGTTCCCTCATGCTCTCAAGGACCAAACCCTTGCGCATAAATGTAATGCCTATATTATAAGAAACATGTATACTATTAGTGACTTTTCTAACCCTCTTAATGAAAATTCTTCATCTACAGTATTTAGAATATCATGTTAACATTATGTAGCCTATGCAAGCTAGCTGCACTAACCACACTCTTTTATAAGGTCAAATATTCGTACACATTGCCATCTCATGCTAGTTTGGAAAGATTTGTGTGGAGATAACCTAAAATGCATGTATTCTCAAGGTAAAAATGCAAATGCTGAAATGCATTTTTTAGCATTTAGGAAATAAAATTTCCAGGGGAGATCGGGAACAGTTAATGAGTTACAGATTTTTGAATTTTTAAGACTGGGGGAATAAGTGGAAAAAAGGGGTAGTTACACCCACTTCCCCCCCCCCCAGTTTTTAAGTATTTCTATTCCCGAGTTATTCGTCAGATATGTTTTTTGTGTCTGAAAAATCAGTTGTACAACATAACATTTCTTTCTCCTCGGGAGCCTTGCTTTAAATACATTAAAAAATGTTCTGATTTGGATTTTCATTTGTGTATCTGGAAATAGCTAGCTTCAGATTGATGTTTTATTCATTAAAAGGCAAATTATTTTTACTTTCAGAACATTCAGAAACACTAGTGCTTAATCAGCGTCAATTGACTATTTAGACATTCGACAAAAAAAAAACAGAAGTTTAAAAAAAAAACATAAGGAACAGCATCGACTTCATAATTGAATTGCTAACATTGTCACTCCATGTGGACTCAAGTTGTATTAATAAATTTAAGGTGCTTTTAAACCAATTTCCGTTTAATAATCAAACATCTAGAAATCAGTGTTACAATTGCACTTTGATTATTTTCCCTCTGCTCGCTCCGGACCGGGTAACAAAATGTTGTAGGTTTTCAAAAATGTCCACGATGCCGTAATTTTCAGCTGTTGTTGATTATGTCTTGGAAATGTTTTGGTTGCGAAGTTTTTGTGTGACTATATATTACTACCATGGTTCATTGACGTGGGCGGAGTGAGGTGTTTTTTTTTTATAACTACATGAGCATATTTTTTGGCTTCGAAAATTTTCAGTGGCTGGGGTGGAGGTGGGGTTAACTTTTTTGGCACCCCCGGCGAGTTACGGGTAACAAAAACAAATTAAGCCGTCAGGGAGATACGACCTATTAGCCGGCGGGTAAAGCCCACCTAGAATTAATCTAGGAAATAGTTTTCTTTTACAGTCTCTTAAAGTGTCATTTTCAAGTTCCTATTCTTGTTTTTCTACTTAGCCCCTGCCATGTTGAGACTGTGTTGTTGTGTGGACCCCTTATCAAAGATTTCTGGTGCCACTACCATTAGCTAGTGATATGAAGTTTCCATCTTATAGGGCAGGTCTGTGCTCACCTATTTCTTAAATACGTTTTCCGTCAGCGCCCCCAATAGTCTATTATTCTATTTTATATTCGACTTGATATCACACAAAGCTCGAATCAGAAGTTACAGATAATAGGATTATCACAATGATGAAAACATTGTAATCAAGAATAAAAAAAAGAACAATTCTCGTGTTTAGTTATCTTGTAGAACGTTAGTCATAAAATAGGATTACATTGCGTCCAATGATTACACGCAAAGGGAATCATAAATTATAGTATTGACAAGCTTTAAATGCGACACAATATAACGATTGAATTGACGATTTGTATTACTGTACATTAATTTCACACATTTTGACATTGAATTCAATTGGAAAGGTATTTCATAATGTTGCATTAGAAATAGATATGCCGATACAGTGGTTTATGGTATCGGAACACAACTAATAAGCGCTTTGTTTATGCGTTTGTAACTTGCCATCACTGGATTCATGTTTATTGCTAGCTTATGGCAAGCTAGAATCAGAATAATAGGTTTAGACCCAGTTTGTATAATAATAATAATAATAATAATAATAAAAATAATAAAAAAAAAAAAAATAATAATAATAATAATAATAATAAAAATTAAAAAAAATAATAATAGAATAATAAAATTAATAATAATATTTTTGTTTACCTTATTTCTCACTGAACTTGTTGTTTTACCTTGTTAATAATAATTAATAATAGTTTTAATTAAGCGCCAATATCACTAAACCGAAGTAAAAATCAAAGGCACTGAGCCATGTTCAAAATGTTAAAAAGGTGGGTTTTGAGTTTAGTATTAAATATAGCAACTGAAGTTGAGTCGGTAATATGTTTTAGGAGGGAGTTGCAAAGTGTGACAGCTGAAAATAAAAATGATCTGTGGCCATAGGATTTGGTGTTTGGTCTAGGAACAATTAACAAATTAAGGTCAGAAGAACGGAGGGAGGATATGGAGACATATTTAGGAAGGAGTTCAAGTAGGTAA